TCGCTTAACTCACTGAGGCCCCCGGCCGCCCCCCGAGAAAGGGCTTTTAGAGAAGTGACGGAGTTAGAACAAGGCCATGAGGTGGTGACTGTCACCCAACGACTGGTGTCCTTATAGGAAGAGGAGACTGGGACACACCGAGACACCAGGGATGCGCGCACACGAACGTTTAAGACGTCAGGAGGACACAGGGAGAAGGTGGCCATGTGCAAGCCAAGGAGAGAGGCCTCAGAAGAAACCCAATCTGCTGATAACTTCCTCTTGGGTGTCTAGCCTTCACGATCGTGAGATAACCATTTCTGTTGTCGAATCCACGTAGGCTGTGGTATTTTGTTATGGCAGGACTAGCAAACTAATACAGTCTTTGTACTCGGTTGTAATGGGTTGCATCATAAAGATCTCCTTTAAAATTCTTCTTGTAGCTTTATACTTTATTTTAGCTTCAAACCCTTGATTCAGCGTGTTTGACGCGGGAAGGAAACGGGTAGATGAGAGGCCGCGTGGTCGTGGCACTCTTTACCTGTTGGGCGCGGAGCTCAGCTTCTCTTCGAGCCCTCTCTCTTTCTCTAAAAACAGTAAAAAAAAAAAAAAAAAAAAAAAAAAAAAAGTGAAAATAAACCAAAGCAGAGAAAACATCCTAGAAGCACTTTTCAGAGAGAGCCAACTTTTAAAAAAAAAATGCTTTGCTCAAGACAACTTAAAAAGAATGAAGGATGGGACCCTTATCCTTTGGTAAATTAATCACTCTGTGCATGAGTAAGAACGCACAGAAGTCAGCTGTCAATGCTACCAAGGAATTTTATCCCCAAGCTGCCAAGAGTTAATGTTTCAAATAGATGGTTCTGCAGCATCCATTGGGAATTCTTGCTGCAAGAATAGATATTGACTTTAAAACTCAAAAGGCGCTCTCCTCATCCGAGCAAGAAAGCCACCATACCTCTCCTCTTCCTCCCGTTTCCTCTCTTCCTCTTCCTCCCGTTTCCTCTTTTCTTCCTCCTCCCGTTTTTCCGCCAGCAGCTGTCTGTAAACTCTCCGAGCGATCTGACCTCGGAGTTGCTTCTGCAAAACTATGGCTGCTTTTTTCAGGTGCAAAAACCTCTTCCTCAGAAGGAACGCTCTGTAATTCTTCTGTATGGTCACCACGCAATAAAGGACCTTTCTGTATTGCTTCCTGAAAATGAACACAGAGCAGCACAACAGAATTGTTGAGGTAACGAGGCTCCGAGCTCTCCAGAGGAGTTTACGTTAATGCTACAAGACAAAAGAACAGGGCCTATTTGGAAAGTCTCATTATAGAGACGGGAGTGAACAGGAGGCCCCTTTGGACAAAACAGAAGAAAAACAAAAGAATAATAACAAACAAAGCTGAAGTAAGAACCCTATCATTGTCTTGGCTAAATAAACCCATAACCCCTAATGCTGACTCTGAATGGTCTTGGCAGAAGTTGGGTTGTAAACAGGACCAAAAGAGATTTGATATGGTCTCCTGTTCCCATGATGGGGGCTGGGGGAGTGGGTGGTGAAATGCCACAGCAGGATGGTTTTGTCCTTCAGAAAATGTCACGGCACGGGGTTTCATGTGGCGCTCAGGTCCGCAGAGATGGACAGAACCCAAGTGCACCAGACCAGAAGCTGCCTCACTGGGCAAACACTGGAGAGCGGGCCTCTGTGGACGTGATGAGATAATAGCAAAGTCCAAACAACCAGGCTGCCCGCAGCTTCCATACACGATACGGAGGAACTGGGTAAACGATTTAAATATCTCAGCTCTGTCCTCTCCTGCCGTGGCTCTAATGGAGATACCAGAAGGCCCCTTTCCTACTTTCTGTCCAGGTCAAGCCAACTGGGCATCTGGCATCACTAGTTACGAGCACTGACCCGAGACTCTCCATAGCCTGCTCCTAACCTCCATCCAGGTCTACTGTAAATGAAAGCAAATGACAGGGGCTGCCCCGTCCAGGGACACACAGTATGGAAGCCCTCCTCTTGGCGCTTGATGGCCTCTCCCCTCCCCTTACCGTGCTAAGTAGCCCAAGATGTGGGCCCGGATCACCATGGCTGCCCTCGTAACTTCCTCCTCCCGCCGCTTCTCCAGTTTCTGCTCCAGGGATTCTCGGAGGAAGACCTGCCCGAGGGAAAGTGACACATTAGAAGCAAAGAACATGGCTGGTAAAAGGAGATTCTTTCTGGGTCAGAGATCTCTAGGGGAGGTAAGGCTTTCTTCTCTCTCCATAAGTTTGCTCCAAACACACAGCCGTGCATTCTAGAACTCAAACTCCAGTGCTTCTCAAACTCCCCTTAGGGAAGGGCTGCTTTGTTTTGTCAACTTTCCCTCTGTCATGTACTAAGACATTTGTAAAATATAGTAAAAATATGTTATTAGAAAGAAAAAGCAAAAATATGGAAAAGTCCCATTTTGGGGGGTTATTATTAGATTCAATAGTCATAACGGACTATGAAGTTGCCATTAAAGTTTATAATCACTTATCTCACCATGGGACAAATAGTTCATGAACCAGCACCAGTCCTACACGAAGTGTAAGTCACAAGAAATCTAGAGAGACACCCTGTGTTAAAAAAAAGGAAAGAGGGGCGCCTGGGTGGTTCAGTTGGCTAAGCATCCAACTTTGGCTCAGGTCCTGATCTCATGGTTCGTGGACTCGAGCCCTGCATTGGGCTCTATGCTGGCAGCACGGAGCCTGCTTGGGATTCTCTCTCCCCATCTCTCTGCCCCCCCCTCTGCTCACACTAGCTGTCTCAAAAGAAAGAAACTTAACAAATAAATAAAGAGCTTTATTTAAAAAAATTGAAGACTGAGTTTGAAATTAGAATGGCACCATTTCCACCCCGTCTCAGTTTGGCCATCACAAGAATACCAGAATTGAGACTACAAAGATCGTAGCTATTGGCTGGCCTGTATCTGGGAACAGACACCTGAATCCCACACTCATGACATAAGGGAAGTGTATCTAATTACTGGCATTGTATCAGAATTCCCACGATTTGAAAAGATGTGAAAATATTAAGACCCTCCCTCAATCAAGGTAGCTTTTAATTGTGTAATTTCAGAATTACTGCATGCATAAGAAATTCTGAATCATTCCCTAGAAAAACTAGGTGCCACGTTTTTATGCTCCTCTATTAACAGCGTGGAAACATTTTGGTGGCAGTGGGCAGGGGGCTAAATGACACTCTCTCTCATGATGTTTTGATTTATGCTCCGGTGAGTCATTCTAGCCTATGATGATGCATTATGTTTTCTTAATAGCACATTTCCCCAGACTCTCTGTTCTGTCTCTTCTGACATGTGGGCAAAAAAGCAAATAAAGATTCCTACCACCACGTGACTCACAGAAGCTTTATTTACTCCCACTCTGGATTCCCGAGCACTTGGCAAAACCCTACCACAAACAATTCTCCTAGAAAAGTGTTTCACGGAACCCTTTTCCTATAATTGCAATGATACGCTCGGTTGATGCATGAAGAGACTACATCTTTGGCAAAAGAAAAAAAAAAAAGGACAGAAGCTACAAGTATAAGGCTTATTTATTTTTAACATTTTTATTTTTGAGAAACAGAGCATGAGTTGGGGAGGGGCAGAGAGAGAGAGAGAGAGAGAGAGAATCTGAAGCAGGCTTCAGGCTCTGAGCTGTCAGCACCAAGCCCAACTCAGGGCTCGAACTCATGAACTGTGAGATCATGATCTGTGCCGAAGGCAGACACTTAACTAACTGAGCCACCCAGGCACCCCAGCTTATTTTAATAAGAAAAAGTTTTCAGAAATAGGAATCTGTTTATCAACACCATGGATTAGAAGTAGTTTTCATCAAGACTGGACTTTAAGTATTTTAACTTCTTTGAGACTATTTTTTCAATATGAAAGATCTTCCTCTAATGCTGTTGCTTTGATGAGCATTTAAAAGTAAGAAAGCTGGGGTGCCTGGCTCGTTCAGTCGGTTGAGCGTCCGGCTTCGGCTCAGGTCATGATCTCACGGTCTGTGAGTTTGAGCCCCGTGTCGGGCTGTGCTGACAGCTCAGGGCCTGGAGCCTGTTTCGGATTCTGTGTCTCCTCTCTCTGACCCTCCCCTGCTGGTGCTCTGTCTCTCTCTCTCTCTCTCTCTCTCAAAAATAACTAAACATTAAAAAAAATTTTTTTTTTAAAGTAAGAAAGTCAAATCTTGGGGAAGCATGGTAGTGGGGAAGCTATGGATGAAACAAGTGTCAGTTCTAATGAGCAATATGTTTGTTCCATGAACAAATAGAAAGTTTTATGAAGGAAAGAGTGTGCCACACCTTATCGGAAATCTACGGAATGCCTCGGCTTGAATTACAACCAGAGAAATACCTGCTTTTGTGTTAAGTTTCGCGCCCATCACAAAGAGCTCTCTGCTCTGCCTACTAAATTTACTTCCACATCTTTTTCTAAACTTTCTTTCACTAACCTCAAGGACAAACAAATAGAGCAAATTTCTTCTAGAGACGCAACTTAGCTTCATTAAGAACGTCCACCCCCGGGCGCCTGGGTGGCTCAATTGGTTAAGCGTCCTACTCAGGTCGCGATCTCACAGTTCGTGGGGTCAAGCCCTACGTCAGGCTCTGGGCCGACAGTGTAGCGCCTGCTTGAGATTCTCTCTCTGCCGCTCTCCCTCTCATGCTCACTTTCTCTCTCTCAAAATACATAAAGAAAAAAAAAAATTAAAAAGAACACCCAGTCTGAATTTCTGCAACGACACACAGAAAGTCACATCACTTTTCCCGGCGCAGTGGTGACCTGCTGTCACGTCCCCGCCTTCCTGGGATGCGGCCGAGATGGAGTCGGCACGACCCGGCTGCTGTGAACAGACGTGCTGTCCTCACCAGGCCCTGTCAAGCGGCTTAGGAAAGGGCAGTGCCCACTCCAGGGACTGCTCAGCTGAACTCGACTCATACACGAACAAGCTCCTGTGGCTTTTTTTTTTCATCCTTATCCTCATAGCTCGAGAGCCTAAGGATGATTCTAGTAAGATGTCTATAAAAATAACCTCTTGTGGGCTCTATTACCAAAGAATAAAGGGGAAAAGGTCTGGCAATGTAGTCCAAGTGGTCAGAGAACTGAAACGTGTCAGAATCACAAGGCAGCGAAATCCAAACCAGGTCACCCTCCCCTCAGCCTCTCGGTGGGGACACACCTGGGAATCCCCCGCACGGGCTGTTCACCGGGGGGTTCAGGCGGGACTCTCACCTTTAGTACGAACACTTCCCCAGCCGATATGAATCCTTGCCTTCCAAGAACTAAATGTGTTTTATGTAAGCCAACTAATTCAGACCTGGTGCCACATTTACTTTGCTGACTACAATACTGTCCCCCCCTTTCCCTCTGTCACGTACGATGGAAATTTCTTTACCAGAAGACCCAGATGGTCATTAGTTTCAAGGCTTTCAATACAAAGACCTGGCAGCAACAACAACCAAAACACATACTGGTGTATAATTAAGTCAAGCACTGGTCGAGGTCAAAGCTATTTAGTGGACACAATCGCCAACGCTCTAATGTTTACATTTACTTCCCAGTGTTTCTGTGAACGGTCACGCTTCCGTCCTACTTCTACTTCCAATGTGTCGCCAATTAAAATGTAACTTCCCTTTAAAGATCTCCTCCTCTGCAATGCTTCCCTGAGCACTTCAGTCCACGGGGAGCCCTCTCCTGAAGAAGCTGTGTCTTTATTCCTAGAGGCGATGATACCATATGGCTTATCGTTTGGACATGCATGTCTTCTCTCCCAGCAACGCAGTAACCTGGAGGGCAATGCCCCTGTCATTGTGTCTGTGCGTCCCCTGGGCTATGCCTGGCCCCAAGCCTTGCTTGGGCCTGATTTTCATAATGTAATTGTAGGTGAAGCTGGACTGGTCCTTGAGAGCTCCAAGAGGTATTATGTGAGACATCACGACCTCTGCTGTTACTCCACTGTATAAGGCAGCAGCACAGGGGGAATACATCAGTTGATCGAGAATGCAGGATGTTTGTGATTGAAAAATGTCAGAGCAGATTCATATTGTGTTGCCAAGAACTCCACTTGAACCGTCTTATCTAGAAAGTTTCCCCCCGGGGGGCTAAATGGGGAATTTCCTCGTTCCATCCCTCACAGATTTTTAGCACTTGACAGATCACTGACTGACTGAGCTCCTAGTAAGGGCACTGGGAAGAAAAACACACAATTAAGTCTACATTCTCTACTGGGGACTGTAGAGAAGGCAACAGGCGATGCCAAGATGGCACGAGAGCACGTCAAGGGTCACGGTGGGACTGAGGTAGAGAGGAGGGAGCTTGACTTGGTCTGGGGGGGGGGTGTTTTTCATGCGGGGTTCAATGGAGAACGACGAAGTCCATATCTAAGCTGAGACTGGAAGCATGGGTTAGCTAAATGGGTGGGATGGAGCGGGGAAGGCGAATTCCAGGTAGAGAGACCTAGAAACCTGTGAGGACACATCCTAAGGTGACCCCCAGTGAGTTATAGCCGTTTAATCCTGCAAATGTGGGTGGCACCTCCTGAGACTTCCTTCTAGCAAACAGAATACGGAAAAGGTGATGGGATGTCACTTCTGTGAATGTGTTAACTATGTAAGACTCCCTCAGACGAGACTACAGCGAGATTCCCCTGCTGGCCTTGAAGAAGTCAGCTGCCATGTTGCCAGAGGGCGCTGGAGGGATCACATGGTAACTGTTGGGGGCTTCTAGGAGGCGAGAGCAGCCCTAGGGGGCAGCCAGCAAGAACAGGGACCTTAGTCCTACAACCGCAAGTAACTAGACTGTGGCCCCACGTGAGCTGGGAAGAGGACCCGAGCTCCAGAAGGGAATGCAGCCCGGGAGACCCCGACCGGGGACCTAGCTGAGCCACACCTGGGCGTGGGACCCATGACACTGTGAGATAATAGACGTGTGTGGTTCCAGTGACGGGGTTAGTGGTAGTTTGTTACACGGCAACAGATAATTAGCAGAATGCCTCTGCCTACCATCTCTGACCAGTTAGGTGTTTGGATTTTAAATCCCTGGCAAGGATGATGTTCCTCGAGAGTAGAAGAGTTAGGTCCATCCTACACTTTCCCTTGCTGAGGGTCCCCAGATGAAGCCTCCGTATTTGTCGTTGAGGTTATGGACTGAATGTCTGTGCCCTCTCCATCCCCCAACATGATGGGATTTGGAGGGAGGACGTCCAGGAAGTAAGTAGGTTTGGATGAGGTCAGGAGGGTGGGGCCCCATGATGGGATTGGTGCCCCAGTAAGAAGAGGGTGAGAAGCCAGAGCTCTCTCCATGTGAGGACACAGGAAGAGGGCCCTCACCAGAACCTGAATTCACTGGCACCCTGCTGTCAGACGTCCAGCCTCCAAAGTTGTGGTAAATAAATGTCTGTTCTTTAAGTCAGTGGTATTTTGTTACAACAGCCCGAATGGACCAGGACAATCAATCATTCTCCTTCCCCCACTCCCACCCTTTTTTTTTTTTTTTAATGTTTATTTATTTTTGAGAGAGAGACAGCGCAAGTGGGGGAGGGGCAGAGAGAGAGAAGGGAACAGAGACTCTGAAACGGGCTCTGTGCTGAGAGCAGAGAGCCCAACGCGGGGCTCAAACTCACAAACTGTGAGATCATGACTGGAGCCCAAGCTGGAAGTTTAATCACCTGAGCCACCCAGGTGCCCTCCCTTTTCTTAAATAAAGATTTTTTTGGCTAAAAAGAATGTCACAGGGGGCACCTGGGTGGCTCAGTCAGTTTGGTGTCTGACTCTTGATTTTGGCTTGGTTAATGATCTTGTGGCTTGAGCCCTGCACAGGGCTCTGCGCTGTCCCACAGGGAGCCTGACTGAGATTCTCACCCTCCCTCTCTCTGCCCCTCCCTCGCTTGCGATCTCAGAAATAAACGAACATTAAGAGGCGCCTGGGTGGCTCAGGGGGTTAAGCGTCCGACTCCAGTTCAGGTCAGGATCTCGCCGTTTGTGGGTTCGAGCCCTGCATCAGGCTCTGTGCTGACAGCTGGAGCCTGGAGCCTGCTTTGGGTTCTGCGTCTCCCTGTCTCTGTGCCCCACCCCTGCTCATGCTCTGTCTCTCCCTCTCCCAAAAATAAACATTAAAAAAAAATTAATGAACATTAAAAAAAAAAAACCCAAAACAAACAACGTATAGGAGTAGAAACTTTAACATAGTTTCCTGGTGCTACACAGCCTCTCGGGTCAGGTCGATCAGACAGGAGGACCACATCTTACCTTTGACGACATGCATATAGTCAAAGGTCGAACCCCCCCAGCAGCCTGCCTTTCTGCGCCCCAAGTCACATCTCTGCCTTCCCCGTGTGATGGGGCCCACGAGCAGAGTGAGGAAACAGGAGCAGAAAGGCAAATGAGGTTTCTGGCAGTTCCTGGATACAGGGAGAACAGGTGACACCGCTGATTTTGCGGCTAATTTTTGCCATCGGGGCCGAACTGCCTGCCGTTCAGCCCCTGTCTGGAATAAGGGGTCAAGGCCCCACGTCAGCCACACCAGCACGTTCAGAAAATGGACTTCTCTTGGTTTTCTGGACCGGATTCGTGTCAGCCCGATGGGATTTCAGACTGCCGGCTGGTCTCCCGCATGACGGCTCCTGGGGTGTCAGGACAGCATTGAGCAGCGGAATTATCAACAGTTACCAGGGCCTGGGGTCTCCGTTCCTGGAAGTCAGAGCCCAGCATCTCATGGCACTGAACCACTCATCGGCCAAAACTGGCCGACTGACTGCCCGAATGAAAACACACGCCTACGCACTCAGAAGCCAATGTTCCAGAAAACGGAGTTCCTAGAAAGCCAAGGACTTCAGATAAAAGATTAACCATCCGGGGGACAAGAGGATGGAAGTATGGCAGCGTATCTCCCCCGAGTCAAAACGTACTTGGTTAGCAGGGGCACAGAACAGGTGCTCAGGAGTTTGGGGGCATGATCGTGCTTTTCTCTGCGACCTCACCTTGGTCTTCCCCAGCTGCCACTCGCTGTTGGACGAATCGTAGAGCTGCAGCAGGGCCGTGCACTTCCCCCGGATGTCCTCGGGCACGGCCACGTTCCTCATCAGCACTTTATACCTGCAATAGAAACACGCCCGGCGTCACCTTCCTATGACGGCTCTCTTCCCGGCCCCTCGGAAAAGAAAGAGCATCTATTCGGCCCTGCCTTGCCTTTTGTAAAAATCCTGGAAGGGCCTTCGGACCGCATACCCAGCTTTCCGGATCCTCACCGTCTCCAGCATCCCCGAGTATCGCAGCTGGTTTAGCACAACCGCCTGGTCAAACTGGTCTGGCATCTGAAACATGCGAGACGGGGACGCGTTAACGAGGCCACCCCGTCACCGTTTTGCACACGCAGATCCAGACACACACACACAGAAACCTGCACAAAAATACAGACTAGAAAGTGAACCCCACCCCCAGGTACCCATCACCTGGCTTCAAGGGCCACCACCTTGTCAATCCTGCCCGCTCCCTCCACGAGCCCTTACTCCCCACCCTTGAATTCTCTGAAGTCCTAGACTTCACATCCTGTCATCGATAAATACAGTCAATACCATTTCTTAATATAACCACGACACCATTGTATCTTAACAGAGACCGGTAACTTCCTGGTATTAATATCCACGTGCAAATCTCCGTCTTAACTATCATAAAACATACAACCATGTTTCATACTGCTTTTCAAAGAACCTAAAGTGTCACCCAGATGTGACTTTATTTACATTTTGAACTTCATTTTCAAGGCACTGAAAGGGATTTTTTTCTCCAGAGAATATAGTGACCCAGTGAGGGGCTGAGGGAGGGGTGGGCAAGGTTGGGGGTGGGGAGTGGGGAGAAAGAGAGTGCACCAGTGGACCAAAGAGACAAAAATGAAAAAGAATTGTAATTTTCTTGGTACCTAGTCAAATACTCCATTTATTCAGGGTTCTACACGATGCTCACTCGGTAAATTAATCCCAGAAAATGCAAACCAAACACAAAAATCAGACCAAGACTTAATGTTCTGAAATGTATTCTCCTATCCACTCAAGTTACCAAACAAACTGGCAGTGAAGACAGGACAATAGTCTTTCAGAGTAAAGCCCGAAAGTAGGCCATTTCCCACTTACGGCCTTTTGGGCAGTGATTTGTTTTTCAATCAAAACAGCCGTCCCCTTTAATTAATTTGTATTTTGTTATCCTACACAACTGTGAACAAAGTGACTGAAAACCAGGGCCAGAGAATGTAAGTATATTGTTACAAAGTGCAGAAAGAAGAAAAAAAAAGAGAAAGGAAAGTGACTTAAGTTTGCGATCCCCATAAAGGCAGTCATTAACACAAATTTAGGCTTAAAGCCATGTTATCCTGTACACTTCCCAAACTAGCTAAGAATAAATGTGAAGAATGTTCTGCAAATCTCCCCTACGGCTTTTGATGGAACAGCCTGCCATCATCTCCAGCAGGCTGACTTCTCTTATATTTAATTTAGTTTCTTCTACAAACAATGTGGTCAACTTGTCTTTACTCAGCAGTATTCTGGCCGAGTACAGCCAATAAGTTAGGGCAAACATCCAAAAAATTGTGGCTCACTAGTTTTTCGTCTTCGTTATTTAAACATTCTTAGAAAAGAAAAACATAAAAATACAAAAACAAAATTAAATTACCCTTGGTTACTCTTACACCTATCGTTATGTTAAAAAAAAAAAAAAACAAGAATGGAGAGAGGCAACAGTTCTGGAAGTATTTGGTTAAAATGCTTCTGTTATATATATTTGGGAATATAATCTGAACAGTTGCAATGCACGAAGATTGGCATAGAGCTAAAATTAAAAAGCACGGAATAATGCATCAGACTTAGTCAACTTTGTTAAATTCGTAGTCAAGGACACCTACTAATTTAATATTTAATCACGCGACGCTCAAAGACTTTTCTCGATCCCTCTCTCAAGCTCTCCCCACTCCTGACCCATACTGTTTCTCCTCGCCTCTTGTCTTCCCATCCCCATTTAACAAAGTCCACACGATTCCTTAGCTCGGCACCAGTTCTAGAACGTCCTAAAAAAATATCACAAAAGTGACGCCCCATCCAGAAAGTTCGGCCACACTCACCATCTTCAGCCTCTCCGAGGAACATTCCACCTTCAGTTTGGCTCTCGGGCCAAAATTCATATGGAAACCGACTGCCACACTGACCTTTCCGCCACAGCTAAAGACACTGAACAATAATGAACACCATTCCTGTGCTTTAAAAAGTGCTCGGTCGCCATGACAACCCCTTCCATTCTGGGGCTAATTAGTGTGGTGTGGTTGTAGGATTTCATACAGCCCAGGGAGGGCGGGAGCCACCAGGAGCGGCCACTCTTTCCAGGCTCCCAGCGCGATTGTGTTTCTGCCCCTTTCCTCGTAATTTAACCAGGGAAGGGGGGACCCACAGGCAGATTGTCGCCACGGGCAACCCACACAGCAAACGCGAAGAGGGGGTAAGCCTGCATTTCCACTGGTTCTCTTTTTAGTTTCAGCGTCCTTCCCCGGGGAATTTAATGCTCAAAGATGACACTGCTGGGGGCTGGACAAATCACAACTTAAAGGCATGTTCCTTTCAAAACTTCACCAGTGCACATTGGTCTTTGCTGGTAACTAATTTCCCAGAACCAGAGTCCTTGCTCACAGAGACTGCCTGCAAAGTACGAAACGGGGAAGTTTGGATGGCAACCCATAACATGGGCTTTGGAAGGAACAGCTATAAAGCAGGAAACCAGCTGGTCTTTAAACACCTGTTATGTGCATGGTTCCATGAATCACGCTCGAGGAAGATTAAAAAAAAAAAAAGTGGGGCTAGATGATTTATTTTTCCCTTTAATCAACATCCCCCACCACAGTGGTGCATTTGAGCCACGCTGATGAATCCGCGCACTGAGAATTTCATCACCAGCTATTAGGGTCCCCAAAGTCATATCACAGGCCAGTCTTGTATCAAAGGTTTGATGTAAGGACATACACCCGCCATTAGAGGATGACGCAGAATAGTTTCACCCCAAGTCCTCTGAAGTCACCTTACCATCTCTACCCTCCTCAAAACTCCCTGCCACTTCAATCTTCTCACTGTCTCCGTAACTGTTGTTAAACATTTAATTTTATTATTTTTTTCTTATTGTTTTTTAAATATAACTTACGTCAAGTCGGCTAACATACAACGTATACAGTGTGCGCTTGGTTTCGGGGGTAGATTCCCATGATTCATCGCTTACATACAACACCCAGTGCTCATCCCAACAAATGCCCTCCAGAATTTATGCCCCTTCTCCTCTTCTCCCGCATCCCCATCGCACCGCCAGTTTGTTCTTCATAGAAGCAGAGTCTCTTATGGTTGCCCCCCCTCTCTGTTCGAAAACTATCATTTGATTTTTTAAAAAAGCAGTTCTAGGGGTGCTTCCACATGCACCTGCTGGTTGAGTGTCTGAGTTTGGCTCAGGTCATGATCTCACAGTTCGTGAGTTCAAGCCCCACACGGGGCTCACTGCGGTCAGCAGAGCCTGCTTCAGATTCTCTGTCCCCCTCTCTCTCTGCCCCTCACCAACGCTCTCTCTCTTTCAAAAATAAATGAATATTAAAAAAAAAAAAAGTAGTAGTTTTAGGTTCATAGCAATTGAGAGGAAGTTACAGAGACTTCCCTTAGGCCCCTGTCCACATACACATAGCCTCACAGGGCCTGGATTCTGCTTCCCAGGACCCTTAAACTTGGAAGGGTGCTATGTATGCCAATCCTCAACTCCTCATAAAATAGAAAGCTTAATATGAAACCA